CTTTTTCACGCTTTGAGGTTCAACCTTGAAACAAAACCTAACTATTAAATTCTGATAGTCCAGTTGCTGKGGTTCACGAGTTGTATTAACTATCTCTAATACCCGTCAATGTCAAAATATACTTATTATTACTGTTGATTACTAATATTGATTACAAATTAATCATATCCTTAAAAAAAATTCTCGTTTAAAATGCTGTTTATATTCAATAATATAAACTTTTAGCGGATCTTTAGCTAATACAAAAACACGATTGAAAATGGATTATGTTTAGAGATAAGCTATAAATTTTGCCAAATATATTTGCAAATATAACCTAATAGTAAAAGAGCATTTAATATATATCTGTGAAACATTTTGTAAAAAATGCACAAAATTGCACTCAATTAAATTGAATGAAAGCAAGTTGCGTCATTTAGTTTGCAAACCATTCCATTGAGAGCACTTAAGTAGATTTAAATACATCAATGTTCAAGTTCCTTCAGAGCTAGCTAGGACCTCGATCTCATTCATCTTGGATAATCAGCGTTTCAYCAACACTACCACTATTAAAAAATGCTTAAAATAGCAATCAATCAACATACTGCAATGCGCCTGGTTAGTCGCCCGAATATGACTAATGTATGTCTTTCACATTCTCTTACAGAATAAGCGGATTTCGTGATATTACGAGAGATAGGTTAATAAGACTTCCTAAAATATATTAATCCCTCAGATGCCCCTCGTTATCTCGACTATAAAGACCATAGGATCTCGTCCCAGGCAGACTCGATCGTTTGGAGTTGATATCTCTATTCAGAGTACTCATCTGCCTCATCCTACTGCCCAGTAGATGACGTAGTCGTTCAGATTCTTTCCTACTTGATTTAATAGCGTCTAGAAGRTCACTCACTGAGTCTTGACTGGAGCTTAGTTGGTTATCACATTCCATGTCTGAAAAGGAATGACATTATTCAACGTCAAATTCAGTAGGACAATGGTGATCTAGGCCCAGAAATCATTGAAATTGTCGAAAATCCTAATATATATTACTAACGGAAACTCTACGTGGCCATACCTCTAATTGATAATGTAAGGAATGTCTTGCATAGTAATAACGTATATAGTTTAAGCAATCAACTTGATCCCAAAATAATGAATATTTTGATACCCGATCCTTGTCAAACCATAAATGGCTTTTGTGATCCTAATTCCTATGCAATGATAAAACCTAAAACTCTGATCTAGAGTCCCAAAAAAATGAAAATATTATACATGAGTCAAAATAAAATTACGCTGATCTCTGGACACAATAGCCTTGTTACTGCATTGTAATCTGGAGCATAATCATTATAGAAGCAAAATCATATAATATATTTAAAAATACAAAAATACATACCTTTTCGAAGTTTTAACAAGTTTTCCATCTGTGAACACTTAAGATCAGCCTGCACACTTGCAAGTTCTAAATTRTAGCTATCTTTGAGAAGACTCATCTGGCTCATAAGATCATTAATCTGTGATGTTCGCTCGTCAAGCTGATTCTTCATTTGATCGACGACCACATTTTTATCACTTGTGTGAATACGTGTYGCTTGAAGACGCATGCGAAGGTTGTCGATCTCCATATCCTAGAAATAACATCAATCACATTAATTTTTCATCTAAGTCAATAATAAAATCGAAAATCTATTTCTAAGTGCACATATGAGATCACAAATTAAAAGGCGAAAAATGTTATTTCAAACACTTTTAGAGATGTGCGTTAGGGTTTTATTTAATGTCATTTTTGTAAGAACTAGCACCAGTTACATCAATTTATTACCTTGGCCTCGATGTGTAGCTTATGTGCAATCTCATCAGCATGTCTCTGCTGTTCAGCGGCGTCTTGCACAACTTTCAATTCTCGTTCTAGTGATGAAACTCTCTGGCTTAGAAATCCAATCTCCTGCTCATAGCGCATRCGTAATCTTTCCAACCGATGCTCCTTTGTTGCATTAACATTTTTTTGTTGTTCAATTTCTCCRAGAACTGTTTTAACTTCTCGTTCCCAGCATTCTCTCTCCAACACGTAGCTTTGTAGTTTACTATTGGTTGTCGTATAGTCGAGTTTCAGTTCGGATTCCCTTATATGGATGTCGTTAAGTTCTTTCTTAAGTCCATCGTTCTCTTTCTCAACACACTTTAACTTTGTAACTTTTTCGATGTACTCTTTGTCTTTCTCGATTGCTTCCTTCTTGATTGAATCTAATTCAGACCTCAACTTTGCAAATTCACCCTGTAATTTTACAGACTCGGCGCAAGCGGTGCTCTGGACCTGGATTGAATACACAGAAAAATAATTTGTGTAAATGGAAATATACTGTACTTTATAGCAAGTATGTCGCGTTTGACTCTAMACTGGAAACAAATCGCGCACTTTAAAAGGTTGTAAATTTGRTGTAAGTATGAGGCAAGTGTCCAAAATGTTGTAAATTTGATGTACATAATTTTATCCASTGATAAGTTTATCTACCATGTGATTGTCGTGTGTAACTGTTATTATAACTATCATTATAAACAATCGCCATGTCCTACCTTCAGCATCTGTCTCTTTAGATTTTCACTCTCCTGGAATGCTTTGACCAAGTTATCTTCCGACTCWCGAAGCTGAMTTTCCGAAGCGGTTAGCGCATCTTGTAAACGTTCTTTTTCTTGACTGAGACACTTGATCTCCGTTTGAAGATTACCCTTATTGATAGTCACCTCGTTTAGTGCTTTTGACAAATTSAGACTTTCATCGTGAGTTGCTGTATACGATTTAGTCAAAGCCTCGTTTTCAGATCGGGAGAGTTCTAGTTGGTGTTTTAGGATTTCATTGGTCGCCTGCAGACTTCCGCGCTGGATCTCGAGCTCGTCAATCTTATCTTTTGCTTCCACAACTTCTTCGTTAGATTCACCGAGGKCTGCTTCAAGTTGTGCGACTTTGTTTTTCAGCGTGTGCATTTCCTGATCCATTTCTTTGCTCTTGGTATGGTTTTCATCATTTTCACTCTCTTGTTGTCGTATTTTGTCCTCTGCTTTGGACATTTGTGCGTACAACTCCGTTTTCTTCTCGTTAGCGTTGTTGTAAAGCTTTTCCAGTTCTTGCGTTTTCATCTCACTTGCATAAAGCTCTTTCTCYTTTTCTGCAATCTTCTGTTGTAAGCTCTTCTCCCTCGCTTCTAGTTCGAACGTCCTCTTCTTCATATCAAGAAGCTGTTCCTGCATACTGTCTATTTGATCTTGGGCATGTTTGATGTCTGCCCTTGCCTCTACTACTTGCTTTTGTGTGACTAAAACTTCTTCTGCGTAACGATCACGTTCTGATTCAGTTTCTTTAGACTTTGCTTTCAGTTCTTCTACAGCTTCTTTTAAAACCCAGTTCTCTTTGTCAAGGATAACTTTGTCACCCTTTAGTTCACATAACTCGTCGTCTTTACTTCGCTCCAATTCGATGCTTTTCTGTTTGAATGTTTCAAGTCGATGTCTCAGTCTCTTGACTTCTTCTTCGAGCTTTGATTTCTTTCTTTCTAGCTCGTGGAGATAACGCTTCGTTTCAGTCATTATATTTCTTTCTTTATTAAGAGAACCCTCCAAAATTGCATTGCTTTCGTTTGCTTTAGAAAGTTTATCTTGAAGCTCTCTGTTGTCGCTAAACGATACCATGCATGTTTGGTGGAAGGCATCCACTACTTCCTTGATTGATGCTTCTCGACCCGATTCCAGCGGTCCATCAATGCTGTCAAAGCTTTCCAGTTCTGCGCTTAGCAAAGGTGCAGATTGTAATTCAACAAAGTTTTCTCCGCTGTTAGAAGCTTTCATTTTGCTAACGACTTTTAACTTTGCTTGAGCTTCAGCCAAGGCATCAACATTTGTGTTTTCTTGATCGCTTACTTTGGTTTCAAGGATATCAAGTGCTCTCTCTGTTGTGCCAAGCCGCTCTTTCAAGTCTACGTTCTCACGACTGACATCTCGCAGAATATCTTTTGTCTTTTTAAGGTCTGCACGCTGAGCTTCTGATATTATTTTCAAACTATCGATTGTTTGGTCGCGTTTGGAAACCTCAGTTGTGTAAAACTTCTCCTTCTCTGTTAATGTCTTTTCTGTCTGTTTTAGATCCTCGGTCGTTTTACTCAAAGATTCTTCGGTTGTTTCCAGACTATTTTGGAGTACATCTTTTTCCTGGAAGAGTGTATTTCCCTGTGTCTTTAAAGATGATATTTTTCCATTCAATGAAACGATTGTATTCTCGCTCTCTTCGTGTTCTCTCTTTAGGGTGTCCTCCAGCTGTTCAATCTTTGATAAATGAAGTGCAACTCTCCCTTTGAGCTCCTTTGTTTCTGCTCGCAAGCTATCCATACAGCTTTGAGCTTCTGATAGTTGACTCTGGCTTTCCCAGTACTTTTCCAGCAGCTCTTGTTTTTTCTCATCCATCGCTTTTATCTTGCTTTCATGATTTTTGATCTCGTCAAGAAGCTCTTCGTTTCGCTTTTGGCTTCTTTCAAGAGAACTCTTTGTAATGGACAGGTYTTTGTTGGAACCTCTCAGGTCTTGTTTAAGGTTGTTCAATGCATATTCATGGCTGGAAATCATGGCATCGAGAGTTTCACTCAATGAGCCAACCTTTTCTGTTGCGAACATTTTTTCTCGTAGYAGCTCACTACAAGCGTCCTGAAGTTTTTTTGCTTGCTCTTCAGAGTAAACAAGATCTTCCAAAAGCCTCTTTCTTTCCTTTTCTGTATTCTCAAGTTTCTCGTTTGTACTGAGCAGCTCGTTTCTTGTGTCTGTCAAAGATTCCTTTAGTCGCTTCATTTCCACAGACTGGACTTCCAGCTGTTTTTTGAATGTCTGGCCAGCTTCCTCGAGCAGCTTACCCTTTTCCTGTAGGCTTTCGTTGTCATCTTCAAGTTTAGCTTGCGAACGTTGTAGARTGTTTAAATTCTTCTTACAAGTTTTAAGCTCTTCTATGTGTTCATTCAAATCTTGYTCAACTCTTTGTCGCATTTCTCTCTCGATAACAATGTGCTTCTTGAAGTTATCGGCATCTTTTTTGGTATTCTTAAGTTCTACCTCTGTTAGTCTGATCTCTTCGCGTACTGCTRCTAATTCCGCTTTAACTTCTTCTCTTTCCTTTAGAGCATCTTCATACTTTAATTTGAGCTCATTAAAATTAGTCTCAATTTTTTCAAGCTCGCGGGCCAGTCCTAGCTTCTCGCTGGATTCAACTTCCAAAGACGCAATTCGYTTCTTGTCGTTCCGCATTTCATCCTTTGATGCTCGCTGGTTGTTTTCAAGATTATTAAGTCTTTCTTGGAGAACAAGCCTTTCCTTTTCAAGTGCTGTTTTCTTTTGCTCTTGTTTAGTAATTGTAGCTTCAAGGGTAGCTATTGTCTGGTTGGCACGAATCATATCATTAGTAGTGGTCTCAGCATTCTGCTCATACTCTGCTGTGAGTATCTCAAGGCCATTACACTTGCTTTGTAGCTGAAGGACCTTATCTTTGTTTTCGATGTTCTCTTCATTCGATGTTTCAAGCTTTTCTCTCGTGTCTTGTAAAACAGCATCTTTGTTATTTACGTCCTCCTTAAGTCTCTTTGTTTCATCACTTAACTTCTGGCACGAATGTCTAAARCTGCCAAGTTGGTCTTTCAAAAAGGCGAATTCTCTATGGACACTGTCGATGTCTTTTTGGCAAAGCTTGTTCTCAAGTTCCGATATCTTTGCTTCTGGTCTAATCATATCTAGGCTCCTCTCAGTTGACTTAATGGTTTGCCTTAACGCCTGAATTACCACCTCGTTTTCAAACAGACTCATCTCAAGGTCTGTTTCCATCGTTTTTTCTTCGGCTTCATCTCGTGCTTCCCGACCAATAGATCCAAGCACAAGCCGCCTTAGCTCTTTTCCAAGTTGCGTGACATCGTTACGCAGCGACTCTAGGTTGAGTTGAAGGCTGAGGACTTTTTTTGTGCTTAAATACAAGTCGTTTGTGAGCTTCTGGCGTTCTTCTTCGAGCTCGCTTTTCTTTGTCTCCATACTTTCCAATGTTTCCTCCTTTTGAGCAATTTCCTTCAGCAAACCAGCCTTTTCGATACGGATCTTCTCAATTTCCGCTTCTAGATCTTCATTCTTACCATTTGCTTCTACAACATCACGTTCAAGGTCGGATTTTCTTTTCTGACTCTGCTCGCAAACATTTGTTAATCTTGAGTACTCAAGTCCGAGTTTGTTTAGCTTTTGCTTAAGAATTTCTTCTTGGTCCACGGCTTTCTTAAAGCGGTCCTCAAGATCTTGGATATTTTTTCTGGCCAAATGAAGTTCATCTTCAAGGCTGCCTTTCAGGGTGGTAATGTCACCAAGTCTTAATTCCATTTCGTTGTTTGTTTGCTCAGTTTTGTTTTGCACTGCCTCAAGGTTGGTGATAAGTTCTCTGGCCTTGGCCAGGTCACTTTGCAGGGTATCGCATGTGCTTAAAGTACTCTCATGTTCTTGTTTAAGTTCTTGGCGCTCGGCACGTTCTTGGTTGATTAAATCATTCAATCTTTTCTCTCTTCTTTCTGCTTCAGATACTCTACATTCCACTTCACATTTCTCTTCAGACAATGCTATGATGTCACTTCTGAGCCTGCTGTTTTCTTCCTTATACGCTTCAGCGGTCATCTCCATTTCTCTCATTTTTGTCTTTAATAGTTTCAAATCCGTGTCCAGTTTTACTCGGAGCTCCTCAGCTTGTTTGGATTCTTCTTTAAGACTCTCTAAATCCGCCTTAAGAAGGGCATTGGCTTCTTCTAATGGCGAAAAGTTTTCTTTCAATTTGTTGAAATCTTTGAGGAGTGCGTTCTGGTTATTCCTTGCCGTCTGCATGGCATCTTCTTTCTCTATATTTTGGCTTTCAAGATGTGACAATTGTTCTTGAAGATCCCCTATAGTACGTCTTAAATCTCCTTCTTGTTCTTTATAAGACTTATCCTAAGGAAATATAAAAAATACAGTATGAACAACAGTAGCCTTGGCAGCGTCAACTGTATGAGGATTGTARCGATAACAGCAATAATATGTCAAAGTAGTAAAGGTGTTGATAATGACCGGTTAGAATAATAAAACTACATCACCGCATACACATAGTTCTCCATAACATTAAATCAATAGTCCGAWATAATGGCTGGTTATGCTATTTTCTTTGTTTTTGTTTTTGTTTTGACTAATAGTGGTAATTATACAGTATTTTTGTTGTTGTTTCAGTGCGAGTAGAGTACAAACATTAAATTTGTGCAACACGTTCCACTGTTCACCACAAAATAGTGTTAATTTCTTAAACAATAGAAAACWATAGAACTAACATAATTTAGCAGTATTTAGTGGCATTTATGTTGCACAGTTTTAGTGATTGTTCTCTATTCTATTATAGAAACAACAGCTAATATTATAACATTAATTACAGTTATGACATGATTATTGTGATAAAGTGCACTAAGATTGTTTCGATATCCTTATAATCAACACGGTTGTCACCTTGGAATATATAGAATTAAGGGATATCCCAGATGTAAATGTTCCCAAGGTGGCATGAAATTATTAAAAGTCAAGTGAAATGCAAATACCTGTTCTTCAAGGCATGACTTCAGGTTTTCATATTCCTTCTTATCGATCATTTCTCTTTTAAGTCGTTCATTTTCAGCTTGGATATTTCGATATCCCATCTCAACATCCATAAGAGAACTTTCCAGAACTTCACTATACTCCACAATCGACTCGAGCTTTCCTTCCAGCGTAGCCATGGTAATATCTGTTGCCTTCTGGATATACAAAACATAAGGGAAATTGATGATTATATGTATAAATGTAAAAAATAAACCCATAATTTCATGCTCTATGACAACGTTGACTTTACCAACCTTTGTTACTACGGGTTGTACAGGAACGGTGAGGACCTTAACATCAGGCTCAGACACTCTTCTAGGTCTAGACGAGTACACAGAGAGCTTCTGTTCAAGATTTTCTAGCAGTTGTTTTTGCTCTTCGTTCTTTTCTTTGAGATTCTTGTTGGCAGTTTCAGCATCACTCTTTTGGCACGCCTCATGATGGTATTTCTCGGACATGGACTTTGAGTACAGTTCCAAAGCTTTTTCTTTCTCTTCAAGTAGCTCAACTTTCTCTCTAAGTTCGTTCACAGTGTCCTCTCGTACTTTTAAAGTTGTTTTTACTAAGTCGGCTTCAGAAGCAGTGGATGCAAAGTCGCGTTCTACTTTAGCAAGATTCATCTTTGTGTTGTTGAGTTCATCTTCCATCATATTTGCTTTTGTTTGAAGCTCGCTTAGGAATCGGTCCTTGTCTCCAACCTCCTGTTAGCATAAATAATAATAATAATACATTATTATCTACTGCATTACAAGCAACGCTTAAGTAACATATTTATTTCGAGTTTGACTACGAAATAGAGATCATCTGTGGCTCTAAATAAGGTAATACTTCTCAAATATTGGTGCAAGGGGATGGTTAACTATCGATATGGCAGTTTCCCTATCCTACGGTTCGAAAGCAATACAAGTAATGCAAGTGTACAATAAATACCTTCTGCAAGTCGTCACTTAGTGTAGAGTAATACTGCAGTTGTGAATTCATCTTGTCTTTATTGTTCATTATTTCCACTATCTTAGTTTTCATGAGTTCATTGTCACGGACAACAGCTCGGAAGTTCTCGATCATTGTGGGCATTTTGCACAGAAGACCTGCGAGAAAAATCAAATCAATCAAAAAAGAGGGTCCTTAACAGGGTTTATGGATTACTTTTGTCCATTTTGTATTTGATCTATCATTTTTGTTCTGGTTTTAAACCCCATTCCCAGTTTCTTTCTTCTTGTAAAAATCCCAGCCCTAGTGCAGAAAACGTTCAGTAATACAGTATTGCATATTACATTTCAACTTGAGAACGCAATGTATTGTTGCTACAAAATGGCAATGCTCCATTTTCGAGTTCTGTTTTGTGCAAGCTCAGCTCAAGCAAGGAAATTTTTATTATCTTCTTTGTACACAGAGTGTTTGCATAACAGTAAAGATCTCTGCTGAACAAAAGAATATATTTGATACTTTCGAGGTAAAGGCTGCACAATCTCGAGCACTGGAGCATTCTGTAGTCTTTGACTGTACATAGCTGCTCACTCTGAAACCATTCCAGAGTGACCAACAATGCATTTCGGTATTGGGATAACGTTTTCTGAAATGCATATGGTGCAGTTGATAGATACAGTTGCAATACGTGGAGGATATACGAATACCATAAACTGATCATTTCAAAAATACAAATAAAACAGAATGTCGAGTGTATGGAATGATCTATGGGTACCTTGTTCTTGAGGCATAAATTTCAGTTCTTCTTCTCCGCTATTGAACAAATTATCTGAACATTCAGAGTTTGGACTGTTTGGGCCTGAGCCGAGTTCTGTGAGTGACGTCACGGAGATACCAAGAGCTGAGTCAGGTGATAAGCTCTGGTCCCTGGCAACTCTGCAAATATACCGTGGATATTATAATATGAAGTCAATGCCCTTAAAATCTCCCCTGATAAATAACGAGTAAAGCTATCGCCGCCATGTTGGATGAATGAACAAGAGCAATTTATGAGGAATGTTCGTTTTGTGATTTTCATCTAAAATGTCGGTGACGACGTAGCTTGAACACCAAGAATGTTTTCAGTCGTATACTGGCAATGAGTTTGTAATTTTTACCCTTGAAGTAAAAAAGTAAAAATACGAAGAAACGTCCAATTCTAAAGTTTTGTCAAAAACTCCGGTAATATTCAATTAAGTCTTCTGACACATTAGTGGTCTCAAATATTTACTCAACTCCTACTAAAAGACAATTGAAAGTATACCGGATTATAAAATTTAGACACTACATCTAGCTTAGCTCGCTGTACATTTGCAACTTTGTTGTGCAAAATACGGCTACTGTGAGCTCGATCGGTGGGTTCAAAAATGTGAAATTCAATGGATTAATGATACATCAYAGACAAATTAACGAATCAAAAAAATCAAAAAAATCAATCAAAGAAATCAACCAATGTCGTTACGGGTTTGCGCGATATTGATATAGAAGTATATCTACTTACGCGTATTTACGCATATCATCAATGGTTCTTGATGCGTTCAGGATCTGCTCCTCTAGCTTCTCTTTCTCTCGTTTATTGCTCTCAGCCTGTACGTCACGTTCAKCGAATTTTTTCTTCAAGTCCTGCATCTCATTACGTAAGTTAAGGTTCTGATTTTTGACGATTTCATAAGCTTCGTTTGCTTCGGAACAAGCAGATTTCAGACTGAACAACCTACATAACAATGAAACGTTAAGATTCAAAAAAAATCTATATCACTATATAGCACCATATAGTTCAATTTTTTTTTATTTATTTATTTATTTATTTATTGTATCGTTTGTTGATTTGTGCTGCGTGTCCTTCTGCGCAGTCGCAGTGTAAAAAAATGTTGCTCATTGAAAAAAATAATTTTCTTAAAATATTGTCAGCAAGAAAGTAAATAAGCATTGCATTTTAGTTAGAAGGTTGTGAATACATTAAAAACGCAAGGAAAAGGAATGTATTTCATTATTATTTGGAAAAGAAAAAATATGATAACTGGTTTTCATTGATACCTGTCTCTTTGTTTCTTGTCGTCAGTTTCCATTCTCTCCATTTTCATCTTCAATGCATCCAAAGCCTTCATGTTGTCCATTCTCAATCTCTCTTCTCGTCTAAGCTCCTCTTCTTTTTCTGCTAAACTTATCTGAAGTTCTGAGTTCTTCAGATTAAGCTTTCTAATGGTCTCATTTTTCTCTCGTAATTCAGCCCTCGCTTCGCTCAGCTCATTTTGCAGTTGTCCAACACGGTTTTTCATAGAACCAAGGCTGTTTTCAGTCTTAATCTTGTCGTCTTTAGTTGAGGTAAACCTTCGATCAGCATCGCGAAGTCGGTCTCGCAGCTCATTCAAATCGCGTTCAAGTCTTTGCTGCTCTTGTTTCGACTCAGAAGAATCCATCTCAAGAGATTTAAGCTGTGTTTGTAGTTCACAGTTCTTCTCAAGTAGCTCCTTTCGTTGCTTCTCTTCAGCTAAAAGTAGTGGAAAATTTCAAATATGATTTCTTATGATATTGTATGCAGTTTACTAGATGCAAAATCTATCGTTACAAATAGACACTGAAAACTTTTACAAAAAGCTTTAAGTAATTTACCAATGCATCAGGTAAATACATGATGTTTCAAAGTCATTGTTATGKTATTTTTAAGTAAAGATATGATTAATTGTGAAACTGTACTATTCAATGTTCTATTATTAATTAAAATTGTACAACTCTACTGATAATCCGATTATTCCTCATTCATTATATTCCTATACTTTGTGATCCTATTTCACGATTCGTGTTTCACGAATCTAATTGAAGTCAAAACAAATGCCATCTAGGCCAATCTCTCTCTATTACCGTGATAACATATATTTAAAACATGCTATTGGTTAAAAGACCTTTTGTACTGACAAAACCTAAGTTCGCATGCATACCTCGATCCTACATTTTTTTAGCGGTATAGTTGCAATTAATAATAATAATAATAATAATAATATGTCTTTATTGATGATAAGAAGAACGTACACTTCTTAATTTACATTCTTAAGTTAGAAAAAAGTGAAAGTTACAACTTACTGACATCATATTTAAATAGTAATAGTTGTTCATTGCCGTCTTTTTCTCATTTGAAATACTAGTTCACAGCCCTGAGCCTTTTTAACGATGATCTAAAATGTTTTCGTTCTCTTTTAACAAAACAGACTATTAATTGTGAAAACTCTTTTTTGCAATTGAAATGTAAAACAAAGCATTGTACACTGTACATTCYTATTATGAAAGAGTTATTCCTAAAGACCATTGCAAACCGCAAAACAAGTAATCTGTTAAGCCATTCCAAACACATCCTTTCTAAACCTTTACAGTAGAGCCAAAATAATGACCTCAAAATCGTCTTAGACAGCCCAACATGTTAGCACATAAACTAGCACATCTTAGACTGGAGTACTCCATCTAAAAGYATCGATCAAACATGGCACTATTAAAACTGTGCAAAATTGAAGTGTTTTTTTCCATACGCGGCATGTTTGTTGAGTGCAGATGATCTTACTTTATTTTACCATTTTCTCCGAAAAGCTAAGTAAAAATATTAGAACAAAAACCAAAACTGGGCAAAAAGTTAAACGCTGTATCGCTAAGTATATCGCTTACTGTTTTTTCATAATCCTATTTTGTCTTACCTCTTACTTCGAAAAGATAAGTAAAAATCGACAAAAAAGCAAGCAGTTTTATGCTATTAACAGCAAACAAATAATATTCTCCTTAATTATCCGACTTATTTAAACATTGTTGGGTGTCTCCGGACATTATTAGACTTAAAAAAATATCTGGTGACAATTAAAACACCCTCAAACTCCACTCTACAAAGGGAAAGCMAAAAGTTTTAAAATTAATATCTTAGTCTGCTGAGAAAGTTAAGTAAAACCAACTACACCATAACAAAGGGAAAGATAAAAACACAATAGTTGTCATGGATAATAGGACCTAGCGTCCTAGGTATTGTTTTCTTATAGAGTTAAATAATATTTGTATCATTTTTGAAACCTGACGATATGCAAAACTGAACTGTGTAAATTCAAAGCGCAGGCCCTTGTAAAAAAAACTGTTCTAGCAATTGCCACAGCTTTAAGCAATAAGTTTGTTATAGTAGGCGCCTTTGTTTATGTGCACAATATCATTTCTTATTATTATATCTGTGTTATTTTGAACCAATAACTTTTTAATTAAAATACCAAAACCTTTCAATTACGAAATCTCGAAGTATGGGAAATATTTCAAATCGACAAAAAGTGAAAGGCCATTTAAAATATAAACTCTTTTAGTGAAGTCGGTCGTATGATTATATTATTGAAGAGTCGTCTGATGATTGCAAACCTATTCTTTGTAGACACAATAATTAAGTTGTTTACTACTAGTTAATATTTGTATTAGTACTTAGTTAACTATATTCTCTTTAGCTTGCTGCCATGCCGTTAAACTCATTAAAACTAGCATTCAGTAGTTGTTAAGTCTATTGATCGCTCTTTATAACCATAAATGCATTAAGATCAGCATTAAAGCTATATGATTTCGATTAATTCCTTCAAAAACTAACAATTATGATAATTACTGTCTGCAGCCAATGCCTAGGCCTACCTACAYCTTGTTTGTGTATACGACCGGCCATAAATATGCCTGCACGGTAATCGTTTTAAAAACTGCATGGCTTCCAGATTATTGATAAACCTATTTTGATTCTTACTCAGTGTTTACAATAAATAGACAAAACACTTCAAATTTGCACTGATTATTTGCTATGCCGTCATAGAAAATATGATTCCGCAATTAAAGAAAGTTTTATCAACTACATTTGATGCTCTTGACTAAGTTTTTCTATATTCTATAAAACTGAGGAGCAAACTTTAAGCTTGTTAAAATCAGGAACTAAATGTATGAAGCACTAAAATTCTTTTACAATGCTTTATGCAAGTTACGCGCAAACACGTTATGGTATCAAATAAAATTTAAACAAGGAGAGCTCTTTGAAACTAAAAGTGAACAATACTGCAAAGGACGTGCTGTTGCTATGCACTTGAAAGCTTAAAATTATCGACCTATAAGACATTTGAAATATCTAAGGTTAGAACTTCAAAACTGACCTTAAAAGAGAAAATTGTTCCTTGAAATCCAAACACTTGCTTTTGCAAAGATACAATAAAAGCTTGACTCTAGTATTTGCTTCCTTTACGTGTTGTTAGCGTGGCGTGCTCTGGACGCGTAATGCTTCTGCGTCTTTTTACCATCGATTAATTAGTTTACCAAGCCAGAAGTACCTATTGTACTCCACTCGCTTAAGCATGAAGAACAATAGATGGGAATTASTACCGCTAACATTAAAGCACTTACTTGTATGATCTATTGTAAAGGCAACAGTTATTGCATATTTTACACAATAATAACGTAGTAATCATTAATTCCTTAAGGTTATTAATCGAGCTGATAAACTGAAGGATCTTTTATCATCAAAACAATCAAAATCGATGCTGTGTTTGTCGAATACTGAATTAAAGCACGTGAGATGTTGGAGAAAGGCCTTAAAATCAACTCCGTACGTAGCAAGCGATTAAGACTGGACCTGCGCTTTAAGAACCTGTTAGACTAAAATTGTTTTTTATAAGTGACAGCTGGGCTGTTATATATCATCATCTATTTGAAAGTAGTTGACAAAACATTTCTTTTTTACCATTAGGTTTATTATTATCTTTTATGGTATTTTTAATGAATCTATAGCAAAGAGCAAATCCGATCCACGGCCGAAAGTTGCTGTATGTATAAGCGATTATTTACTCAATGACTCGTTTCCATCAAATAAAGATTCGATGGTGGTCTGCTTGGTTTGTAGGTGTTTTTCATCATCATGATAAGTAAGTATTTTCAATGAAAAACCTGAATACCTACATTAACTTTCCATCGTACAATCGCCGTTACGCTATGRCGATGTTTTTTTAAAAAGGCTATGTACAGTCATTAACGATGCACAGTTGAMGACGTATAGAAAAACAACCAGATACAATCGAATAAAAATGTTTTGAAATTCCCTGGAAGAATTTCACTTAACAAATCAAAATAAATAGCACATCAAATGTTATTAACATTGCATTGAAGCACCTTTGCAACTAGATATTCAATACTCTTGTAAAAACAATAATATTAATAAATGTAATATATGCAAATGATTCTTTTGTTRTCTTTGTATAGTTYACAACTGAACAACATGACAGCCTAAATACATTATAGATACCATACAATCTGAACCATGTACTCTAGGCTAAATTGAAAATCCAGGTTCTTATGCCAGGGCTGTTATTGTATACCCAAATTGTTCTCAAAGTCATTTTAAGGATTTAAAAATTCTAATCAACGATAACTACAGCAACCAATTCGTATTTCCTTCATAAAACAGAAATCTGATAAAAGTCTGTGAAAAGGCGCATGTTATAGCTCAATGATCAACTATTCCAATCTACTACTCTTTCTTTACTCCAAAAAKGGGATTAACATTCGAAATGTCAGTAAGTTGAATTAATGGCTTCACTTACTCTTTACGGTGTTAAAATTTATCTTTTTGCAAAGCTACTCCACTAATTGGATGTGAGACCATACATCAATTTATTTTGAGATATTATGATGCAAGGACAAGTTCTTCATAGCCATTTATACAGTAATATCATTGACTTCAATGTAATCATTTCACGTAACAGAACCCCATAACATGGTTACACTACAGCAACCTTGTCTGCAAGATTTTAAATGGTAAACACATTGCGTTGCTTTAGACTAAAAATCTGAAAATTTGAACTTCGATTTGACTTTAAAAAGACAAAAGGGAAAAGCTTAGTCTTAAAGGCCTACAAACATCCAAGAATCATTGCGCGATCTTCTCACATACAGACAATTGAACATCTTTGATGTTTTTGTGTTAATCAAAACAAAAGAAATAGTCGTAAGAGCTTTTGGATGCACGTGTTGTCTTTTAAAATCATTAACATCATTATTCCCTTCTTACAGATTGCGGAAGCTAGAGGTAAACTAGTAGGAGCTGGGTCGTTGTTTGTAAAGAAACATTTTTGCAAAAAGATAAATTTAACACCGTAAAAAAAGTAAGTGAAACAAGCTACTGACGYTTCGGACGTCAATCCTTCGTCGGAGTAAAGAGATGTTCTACTTTCTATGTTGATGCATGGATATAAGAACTATTTTMACCATTTGCATGCATGCGAGTGTACGTTTTACCTTACTAGCTATTTAAATGGAATAAAAGTGACATGAAATGTTAAGATTTTAAATAAACTTTAAGAATACCACAAATTTCAAAATTTGACGGGTGACATATTAGCAAAACAAGACAAAAAGGAGGCCTTATCTTTTTAMAATATAAAATATATTACATTAACGAAAGTACCAACGTACCGAATATATCATRATACATATGTTTCTAAATTAAAACCAAATGGTTCAAATAAACCGATTAATTTTTGCTAATAGAAATGGGTGCATCAATCACTTACCAATTTTYGTTTTCTCGAATTCCATTTCTTTTTCTTTGACTTTTTTCTCCAGCTCTTGTTTTTCGACTTCTTTTGTCGCGTTGTCTTTCTCTATGTTTTGTATTACAATTACCTTCGCCTTTACTTCTTCTGAACGCTGAGCTAAGTCTTGTTCAATGACATGGATTTCCTSTTCCAAAACCCCAATCTTCTTTTTTAACAAATTAACTTCTTTCTCGTGAGTCTTGTTCAAGAAGTTCAGATCGTCTACTTGAATTTCTAGACTTGCTTTCTCTTTCTGCAATGAAGWAAGGGTCATTTCCAGGTCTCTAACTGTACCTTCGGATATCTTTAGCTCATTTTGCAGCCTTTCAACCTCCTCTTTGTTAACGTTAAGGTCCAGCGTGATTTTAGCGATGTCTGTTCTAAGATCTTCATTCTCTTTAATGAAAGCCTTGTTGTCAACAACGTCGATCCCAACAGCTTCATCAGCAATGATCTTTCTCTCTTCTTCGAGCGCACCCATCTTGTTTCGTAGTAATTCCAACTCTTGGCTCAAGATCTTATTTTGGTATGTAAGATTTTCAATTTTGTTCTCTTGCTCATTTTTTTCCGAGGATAGTCTGTTTAATTCCTCTTGCATTTCATGATAACGAATTTCAACGTGTTCGAATTCTCTCTTCATGTCGTCCTCGTCAGCTCGCGCRATGGCTATCTCATTGGCTAAGCTTTTTATTTGATTCCGTAAAATCTTATTCTCAACTTTAAGCCCATCATCTAAAATGTCCACCGCCTCGTTTTCCAAGAGAGTATTTTCAGAACGAAGGCTTTGAACTTCATTCTCGAGCGTCTTGATCGTTTTTTCTAACTCGTTAACAATTTTATCTTTTTCCATTGAAAGATGYACCAATGGAGACTCTATGGAAGTCCGACCTTGCATACCCTTACTATCTGCCTCAGAAAAGATACTACTTTTTTCAGACTGGAAAACATGGGAGCTCTTGGCTTTGTGATCGTTGAGTATTTCCGGAGATGGGCTTTCAAGATAATTGCCACTTTCTTCCATATCGATCGCAAGGTGATCTACTTCTTTAGAGAGGTTGTTCTTCTCACTTTGTATCTGAGCCATTGCAGAACGTAGTTCAGAAATCGTAGTCACAGGTGCATTTTGTTCTTTCTCAGTTCTTTTGTCTGAATGACTTGTAGCGACAGTGGAAGTCAAATTGTTCAGCTTTAAATCTTTGATTCTTAACTCGTCTTCAAGCTCCCTGTTCCGTCTATATGCGTACTCCTTTGCTTGCTTTTCCTTCTGYAAAGAATCCTCTAAAACAGCAAGTTTTTCTTTGCTATTTCTATTGACGTCACTTTCACTTTCCAAAGCTTTCTGGAGGTCCAACACATCCTCTTGCAGTTGTTTTACTGTATCTAAACTGGATTCCTCTTTGGATGATGTTACCAAAGAAAGATTTTTATCAGTGTGTTCATCATTTTGTTCATTARGCACTTCAACCTTTGCAGAAGCGTCTTCAGAGTTTTTCTGACTTGCTGTCTGTAGCAAAGCCATTTCATCCTTGTAATAGTCAACTAAAACAATAAGACTCTCWGTATCCTTCTGCTGTTTTGCCAACTCACTTTGTAATGTTTGAATCTCCTTTTCGCWTGTGAACATCTCTTCCTCAAGGTCATTCTGCAGCTGCTCAAGGTCTGCTTTCATTTTAAGATGCTCCACTGAGTTTATCATCTCTTTCAACTTTTTGCAAGCATTCGAGTTGGCTTCCTTTGTCTTTTCTTTGTCTTTATGTCGTTCGAGTTCCATAACCAGACCGGATATCTCTTGTTCTCGATTTTCTAGCTCAAGGAACAAGTCTTCATTCATTCGTATTGCTTCTTCTCGGTCTTTTTGCTCTGTTTGTAACAAAATGATTGTCTGCATAAGCTCATWCTTGAGGTCATCAACTTGAACTTCTTTTTCTGTTGCTTCGGGTAATTGGTTATTTTCTARTGTCAGTTGAGAATCTGCACTTTCMTCATTATCTGATGTGACGTGACTTAAAGCTTCTTGCATTTCTTTAGCCATTTCGGCGATTGCGTGTCTTTTTGCTGATAATTCCTTTTCGAGGCTTTCGCTTTCTCTTTGCTTTTCTGCATACCGGTTTTCAAGTTCCTGGATTTTTGATTGAGTCTCCAGAAGTTCCTCAGACATTTGAATCTTGTCGTTCAACGTTTCACGCATCTTTTCGTTYAGTGATAAAATTTCTTTCTCATTCTCTGACAATTCTTGTCTAGTAACCTGAGATTTGGACTTCATAGAGCGCATAGTGCGATCAAAGCAAGCMATTTCTTCCACAGATTTTTTACGAATTACATCGGGACTTTCCAGTGTTGATGATTTTCTCTTTGGTTTCCCTTTTCGYTCTTGTTTTGCAAGATAAGTGGATGAGATCTCTTTTGAGATTTCCTTGACGTCACTGGATATTCTATYCTTCATCGTCGCAATTTGCTTTTCAGATCTTTCTTTGATGTTATAAAACTTTATTTCGATGTCTTTGACAGCCTTGACATGAGCYCTTGCAAGATCAATCTTCTTCTGATGTATTGCTACCTTCTCATTTTCCTTGTCAAGTTTTGCCATAATACTCTCATTAACGATGTCCTCAAGTTCGSTCATTCTTTTGTCACAGTGCAGTTGCTTGGATTCCTCATCTTGAAATTCATACTCAAGTGAAATCTCAAATTGCGACCGTATTGCGTTCTTAGCCTCTTCAGGAAGGAATTTTTGTTGCTTGTCCAARGGAGAGAATCTCAACGTCTGAAACTTCTCSTCTTCGGATTTCAARACCTCTTCCAGTGCTTGCCTTTGTGCTCTAAGTTTTCTAAGCACAGAATCCGTGGAAATCAAGTCTGTCTCCATCTGATGTAAAAATACTGTAAATCCAGTACTTTTGTCCATAGAGGACTGAAGTATTTGTGAAATCCGTCTAGAAATTTGAGTATTCTGAGCACCCACGTCATCGGAGCGTCTTTCTTGAAAGCGCAACTGCGTCTTTGTGTCATACAACTCCTTATAAAGCTTTTTATTTGCCTCCTCGACCATCTGAACTTGATTAGCAAGGATTCGGTTATCTGTTTCTAAAGTTGTCACTTTCGATTTCAATTCTTCTACGTTTTCATTATTATTGCTGTCCTTGTTGTCGMGATTCTTWAAGCTTTTGAGTTCTTTYGTTAATGTCTTGATTGTCCTTTCTTTGTTTTCGGAAGCCTTTTGCTCATTCAAAAGTTTTTCTTCTAGCTGACGGACTTTTTCCCTGCTTTCCAAAAGCTCCTTTTTCGCTTTAACATTTTGCGTTGGYAATGACGCCATTTTTGTTTCCTCAGAATCTAACTCTGCTATRTTTTYCTTTTCTCCGCAAAATTCTTTATCAGATTTAAAATGAMTGTTATTTTGAATGTCCTCAGTATCATATAAAAGGCGCCTCGCTGCTGTTTCAATTCTTAAAGCTGGTGTACTGGTAACACGATTAGGTGAGACTACGAAATCTCTTGAATTGAAATCTTCAAGAAGGCTTTCAGAAAATGAGCGAGGTGTTACGTGGCCTGAGTTATTAGCGGTCTCTATAGGTGAATTGCGCGAGYTTGAAACAGTTGATCTTTCTGTGAAATCGAAATATTGTACGTCTTCTGTTTCAAAATTGAATACTATAGGCGTGYGTGGCGTAGAAATGCAAGGTTCCTCAGAGTTTTCCGAGAAGGGAGAGCCTTCTTCTTCTTCTTCTTCGACGAATGTATTCTTGTTTTCGATACTTAGTCTGTTGACTGCAGCTTTGTTGCTGCTGTCAGGAAAATTCGATACTGTAATTGAAAACGTTGGCGACCTTGGCTCACATGATGTACCCCTTACAGGGAGATTKATCTGTCTATTAGTTTCTGCCTTGTCGCGTTTACAAGGTATTACGTCACACGTTAGTTTCCCGTACCCTGCTTCCTCTTTACGATTAGTTTCAACAGGTGATGTCGTTTTTCCAAATAATTTTTGATTGTCACGAATACAAGGAAACGTTCTTATCGTTGCGTGATAAGTAGGTGGCTGATGTAGTGTCACCAGTTCTGACYTATTAAAAGGTTTGACGTCAGTATTTTCGAGAATTACTGTTGGTTTRATCGGTATAACAGTGGATTCTTCAGCAAGTTCGCTGAGTGATTCGACTTCAGATAGCTCGCAGGCTGTTTCAACCTCTTTCTGATTTGTGTTTGGAAATTGATTCTCTGCGTCACAACTTTGCTGTTTAACTTCTTGTTCTGGACMCTCGTGACTTTGTTGATCAGACTGAACACTTCGTTGAYTWGCAATAYCAGTGCYAATGAAATCCTCAGTTTGTATTTCACTAAGCTTTTCAGTCGAATATAATTTCTCTAAATTTTGATGATTGTTTTTGTTATCAACACGACAATAATATTTTGGAATACCTTGTTCAAMTTTCACACTTTGTGATACTGTTGTATTTGGTCGATTATCAAAAATCTGTTCTAAACGGTGGCGTTCCTCAGTATTAAAACTTTGGTGTYCTTTAGCAAATTCCTCAATGTTGCTGTCCTTTGTGTATACCTTGCTCGTTGATGTGTGATAAGGATAGTGTTCTCGAATTAACTCGTCTTCCAATTGCGATGCACTTTGATAATTTGGAGCAATCAGACGACTCTTAACCCTGTCTGAAGATAAATCGTCGTGTTCAATTTCAAGACCTAAGGTGTTACTATCAAAGCCTTCTGGATAGACAGTCTTCCCGAACTTTAATACTTTCTTTTCAACTGAAAAGAGACGATCTTTAGTTTTGTTTTTCGACTGATTAGGTATTTTTGGCAGTATTCGAAAATCAGTGTCTGGAACGCCACATTGACTGTCGTCTACTTTGTGTGAATCGAGCTCAGGATGTTCTGCACCGTCACTAAAATCGTAAATGATACAGCTGCCTTTTGCTGATGGTAAATTGGTCTCTTTTCGGGGGTTTAAGGTACTATCAGTATATGTATTGCTATCTTCTAAATCAAGATGACACTGATGACTTTTGCAATGTACCTCAACAGAGCTTCCACCTTCTTCAAGGAGATGTGATTGAGTTTTCCTTTTATTTTTGGTTAAAACAACACTTATAGCTTTGCGCGGTGATTCGACTTGAGATTTATGAATAATGTTTTGATTGTCGTCTCCTGCAACGCTAAGCGAATTAACCTCTTGATGATTTTCTAAAGTATCAGCTTCAACACTTTCACTGACTTGAAAACTGGTAAGTCTACGGACACCTTGGAGGTCCTSGGTGATGCCAGAGATCTGGGGGCTATCTTGTAATTCAAGTCTAGGCGCCGTGTATCGCTTACCGTCGATAAAATCTTCTCCAAAACTCTTGACGTTCTCTGTGCTAAGCGGGCAGTCTTCTTTTTGAGACCTTTTGGCAGTATTATTATATTCGGAAAGTTCTAATGATTTGAGATCGGATAAAGCGCCTTTCGTCTCAGAAAAATCTTTGGCAGGTGTTTCAAAGTCTTCGAATCGAGACAAGCTGACGTTTCCCGCGTCAGTGGTRTCAGTGCTATCTAAAGATTTTCGCTCAAGCTTATTTCTTATAGCACTGCTCCCAAAAGATGAGCACTGCAACTCACACGTAGACGTTTCTCTCTTTTCACCAGTTCTGAATCTTAAAGTCACTCGTTTCAAAAGACCTTCGATTTTAGGTGCCCTTTGAGAAAAAAGGGAAGACAAATTCTCCCCTGTAGGGAGGTGAGATAGTTCGGTTTTGTACTGCTGTTGACGWGAGTGAGGGTAGGTTTTGGATCGCCTGTGTGCTCTTTTGTTAATTGTCGACGGGGCGATGAATACCCCACGATAATGTGACATATCTGGAAGAAAAACACGTATGACGTTATGGGAGATTATTTATTGACAATTATTAGTTTATTTAACACTAATGTTTTTATTTGTTAATGCATCAGCAATTACCAGTGTTAGTTTTTATATTAGCTGAAATGTCACTGAATAAAAATGATATGTGATACATATTTATAAGTTAAAGGAGATGACTCAAAAAGAATCATAATACTATATTAGCTAGAGGATTAAGGTTACAGTTAGGGTTAGGATTTGATTTCAAAGACAGCWGACTGTAAGTCATGGGAATAGTTTCACAATCTAGGAAAAAATTCTGGCATACGAAAACTGTCAGAGGACAAATTTCAAAAAAAAATAAATAAAGAACGGAACAAAAACAAAGATTAYCGTAATTTAAATTAAAACTAGGGCCTGGGCAGGAGTAACAAAAATACAAATCGCACAAACGAATTGGGCYTACTGTGGTATAGTAACCTTTGCGTTATATAAGTGGTTTAATGAATTTWAATTTCTCATTTCATTTAAATCGTACRGTCAGATCTGTGTTGTTGTTTTTTCATTGATATCACACWGAGTTCAAAYTTTCTGTTGCTGTCATGGCGGCCAATTATTTCAGCCAATACTTAAACARCATTAAATACAACTTAGTCTACCGATCGACAAACAAATCCTTTGTTAAATTATTATCATTTCATTATTCAGTTAATGAATTGTGATATGTTATTAGGTTAGTGCTTAGTCAGGTTAGGCGTGGTTAGTTGAGTAGTTAGTTAGGTAGTGATATTATTGTGAAATTACAACAACCTACAGTCAGATTTTGAACTGGTTTATAAAATCCGAAAAATATTTTCTGGATTTTTGACTACATCATTTTTTTAAGCAAAGCCCTCTTTAGTTATTAACAGTACTTTATGGTGGATAAATGTTCTGTTTTTTTACTTCTTTCTTTCTGAAGCTTTTCCTTATATTGAACCTTTACAAGGAGCTTCGATCTCAAGATTTCATTTGTAATTGGTCGACTCTTCCATGTCAATTRTGAGAACAGCAATGCAATCAATAGCCGTTTTTACTAAGTGCAAGCTCTGCCTCYTTGAACAGAAACTCACTGTATAGTCGTCTGTGAAAGGCTTTTCGCAGTACATCATAAATAAATAATTTGTTGTTGAAATGCTTAGTGTTTTCAATCGCCACTATCAAGAAGGGATATATAATTTCATTAATTAAATGGCGTACACAAGAACTAATAGTTATCACTGATCAAAATTAACAGACTCGCAAAGAATAGATGATCGATCCTTGAATAGATGAGGTTTTGGCAGCCATCTTGTCCGGTAGGCATAGTGTCGCAAAATAACAAGGAATGACCGGGAAATCGATGTCAAATAATTCCCTCTGAATTCAAATTCGGAAAGAGTTATCAATTGCAAACATTATTAGATGTTGGCCAGGTAACTCCTTTTTGTAGTATCTAACGTTTGCAATTTAATAATTCTTTCCAAATTTGAATTAAGCAAGAATTTTTTGAATTTTCTAATTATCGATTTCCCGGTCATTCCTCGTTTTTTTTYCCGACATAATGCCTACCGGTCCAAGATGGCTGCCAAAACCGTCACCTCATCTATTTCAGACCCTGTCAGATCCGAATACCTGGTGCACCGCCTTTCAGGTAATATGAAACGATAGCATGACAAATTGGCACTCTAARAATCATGCTGGGAAAGCCCAGTATTGTTTAACAGACGCAAAGCGCAAAGTTTAMAGACGTTGGAAAAATTTGAAATCTATGTTATGAAATATGCTACTGATTTAACGGAGATGCCTCAAGATTGGGAACAAGTAACGTTTCCCTTTCAAGTTCTATAAATKTTGCCATTGGGAAGCTCAGAAAAAATGGAAATAAAATTATTAAATCGAAACTCGAAGTAGTTGAATTTTTGTGGAAGTTTGCTTTTCGCAAAGCATCTGCGTCTGACTCCCATACGAATTCGGAACTCAACCAAGCTGATCCCGGAGAGGGTATCCAAGGAAACACAAAGTCACACCCCTAGCACTAGCGCACTATTGATTTTGAACCAACGCTGCTTTCAATATACACTGCCATTGTAATTTTTCACGGTCCTTCGTGTGTTATCTTTATACGTTAATGGCTGGCCTTCTATCCACATATAATATCTGATCTGGACACCTGGACAAATGTCTGGACACGCCTTTGTCTAAGATCTCAATAGTATCCTCGATGCATATTTAACGCTGTGTTAATGATTAYCGCTGGATTGCCGGGGATAAGTTAACGTACATGGTTAGTACAAACTTAATTGCACGAAAATTGGYAAACTGTGAAAACGAAAGGCATTTAGCAAAAAAAAATGGTTCTTTTGCAAGCATTTGCAGCCGAAAAATGCATGCCAATAATATGACGCATGCAGTTTGTCATGAACTATGTATGTTGGTGTATTGTAGCCTGTGTATAAAACTTAATTAAAWTTTTCGACAGATGTCAAATTGATACTAAATTGATACTAGATACTCCAGTCTACTATCTTGTCTGTTGATATAACCTTTACTCGAAATGAATAGTTTGAAAAGTTAATACCGCCCCAAAGAACTTAGATATAGGCAATGTGCAGTGACGCCATTTTATAAGCAAAGTCTCAATAAGTGGTGCAAGTCAGTGCTTGCATCTAAAAATGTATTCTTTCAAAGGTTTTTTTTTTACAGAAACAGCGCATCTCCATTAAATTTGCAAAGAGGSAAAAATAGCTATGGTGGAAAATTAGCTTTAGCAGGAATAGAATCTTGAAAGAGAAATGCACCTCACGCTAAACATTGCTGTAAAATGGGGAAAAAAGCAAGACGTAGCTGATACACATTGCCCATGAATATTGTTTTGCTGATATCGACAAGGAAGAACGGCATTCTCCTTATTTTTCACCAACGATCAAATAATCATATCACATTGATATAAAAAAATAGTTAGTCTTTGGTTCTAAAGTTTAATTGAAAAAAAAACTCATTATTTTTTAATCAGGAAAGATTATTAATTCAAGAAATCGGCMATAGCAAACATTTATCCTGCGAAGCTAACTCTCTTTTATATAATGCTTAAATAARTTGAGACCAAATAAAAGAATTGGCTTCATGGGGTGCAGAAATTAGCTGCCCTTTTTCCCGCATGTGTTTTAATAGTTTGCACGTCTAAACAATAAATACCAGCTCTACGTGCGGTCATCACGATAGGATTTCATCCATCGCGTTTATCCTTTTGACCTCAGCGAAAACATAATCACTGGACTCGAATGTTTTCTTAAGGGATAACATGGAATAATCCACTAATAGGTAAAGMAAACAAGAATATAACTATGTTTGATTACGAGTACTGCTGCATTAAAAAAGGGACGGTATAAAAAGACTATTGAACACATTATTCTATGTAATAATAAKAGTATKATAACCGCATGGCACTATGAAATGATAGAGAAATACAGTGAAGGAATAAAACTTTCCTTTACTTCTATATCATTTAATTATGTAATAGTCAAGGTATATTTGTCAAAAAGACGCAAAGGAAAGCACTGCCTGTAGCATTGAAAAAATACTTGTCATACCTCAACTTAGGTTAAAAAAATAACTAATAAATTCAAATACTTGCAGCAACGGAAACAAATACATGTTATATACAATTAAACAATTATAAATTAAGTTATGTACGAGTAAATTGAAGGCAATTCATGAAAAAAGGACAACGAGAACATCATTTTTCTTGAGGCATATTGGAATAGTAACGGGTTTACAAAAAAGAAATGAAAAAAAAAAAAAATAGAAAATTGGACAAACTGACATTCTCTAGCAACTATAGAATTGTATATACACTCTTTAAGTAAACTTGACACCGCACTCTAGAATATGGCATAAATACTGAAATATATCTAGATCAAAAATATTTTTCATATATCAGCAAAAATGTTTGTAMTTGGAATAAAGTACTTAGATTCTCTCTCTCTCTCTTCTATCTTTCTCGATATATTTTTTRATATTCTTTGCAAGTACAAAATACCGAAAGTTATAGTAAACAACTAGCGTCCATTGAAGTTTGGGTCAGTCAACTAGAAACGACTAACAGTTGAAGATAACAAAAGAACGCGTCGTCGAAGTTTAGAGCGTATCACCATGACAACGGATTAACAAACGCTAAAGTTTCGTGATGTTCCCCGTTATTAACCTCAAAGGTCGATAAATCAAGATATTTTATWGAAGCCTCATTTTCAAATAATTGAAMCAGCTGTGCTGGGTTGATACTGAAGGCGMTAACTCTAARATACTAACGAATTTTCCATTTTGGTATTTTATTGTGTTTTAAACAACAGMTTTGTAGAGTTTGTTATAACGCTAAAATTAAACATAAAACAAAAACCTAGAATTAAARATATGGTTTTATTTAATAGATATATATGTTTTTTAGTGCAATTCGGATGCTAGAATTAAATGAAGAGAATTTAGAAGATACAAAGCTGATGACAGCGTGCCTTGATACACGTCGTCTCGAATACCCTCGAGGCAACTCTTAACCTCTCCTTAAAAAGAACAAACTTGCAACTTAGGATTATAGGTTTATAGCACTTTGCTGTCCAAAAGATCACTATTATCAACARTATAACGTAATAAATTGAGTATACTCTCGACCCAAAGAAACGCAATGTCTCGATCAACTTTAACTACTTCAAAAAAAGTAAGAAAAGTTGGAACTGAGGTAGTGGCACTTAGTGGATGCAGGAAACAAAATATATAAACAGTAAGACTTTTACCAATCATGTTTTTATACCGTGAAATGTAGGCATTTTTACAGCCTGMTAATACTCTGCGACAGAGAAAGGAAATGGAAACCCGGAGTTGCCTCAAAGACGCGCAGCCACAGGTTGTTGAGAGTTGATTTTGCACACAGATAACGGTTCTCAAGTGTAAATCTAACTTTAGCTTTACCCAGTCGAAGCTTTTGAATTGTAAATTTTAATCCATTTTCGATTTGATGAATACAAACTATTATGTTGTTAGTGTAGTCGTGCGTGGTATGGTAACGAGTATGTTTATGACAAGCGTGTAGAGGGTCCCTAGAGTGCTATGGAGTCCTTTGTCTTATATGTTTAAGTAMGTCTCTGAAGCCGCTATAAAACGTGACGACTTTTTTTTACCAAGCAAGCTAATTAATCCTAGTAAACAAATTAACCTTATGAAGAATGTTGCGTTAACTATGGATGAAGCAAACCTAAAATCTAGACGTCGTTGCGTTTACGTAAGCGTAATAGCTTCATATAAAAGTAAAGCACGCTTTTTCATTAATCTTTCAGATATATCAGTCTATCAAAGCGTAACTATGATCRGCGTAACTTGCGTTTGTAAAACTGTAGCGTCGTGAAATAGCATGAATACAATACAATTTGTACKATTAAAGAATGACTATGAGCTGGCTTCTACTAGTTGGCCATGCAGTAAATCAATTTAATTATGTMGATAATYAAYGTGGTTATCACTACGCTAYAACTACAACGTAAAACTCACTACTCARCTCGGAAAAAGAGCTAAAAACAACTCCTAGAAMGCACTGAATCTAAAAATGAAAGCTTTTTACTTACGATTCAAAGCCTATCGAAGCCATCATTCCRTCGTCTTCAGCGTCCGGTGCCAAGCAACTGAGGGAATTTAGTGAATGACGCTGATGYAGTTTCGTCGTCTATATCAAATGTCTCAATTCAATCGCATTCTTTGCGTCTATTGGATTCCAAGACACAAGGACAGAGACTATCGATGATCACAGTACAATAGGTCGAAAACAATTATCTTAGATGTCAGGATTAGGGTTTTGTTTTTCACTATCTTCAGGCAAACAAACTTRATCCATCATGGTTGATTTAGCAATAACTAATTTATCAAAAGAGTGTTTTTTCGTTAATCAAAYATGCGTCTTTAAAATTTCGCGGGAATGCAGTAAGGAAATGTACAAACTGAATGTCATTAATTAAAGGACAGTAGTGCCGAGCTGACACGTGCCTTTCATAATACCGCAGCTTTCACTCAATTAAACTTACTTTTAACTTTAAAAACTATTTGTGAARAGTGTTGTGCAATCAATACAGCGCAAGGATTTTATGCAAGAACGACGAAAAGCGAAGTAAGGACTTTAGCTTAGAGAGCTTGTAACTTAGTGTGCAGTGAAGAAGTACTGGCTGCTTGGCGTGAGTTTCGACTTGGGATGTACTCAAAATTTGTTTTTAGATCTTAACTGCGACACAAGAGGGCAACGTCCTAACCTTCACTAGAAGGGATTTGTCTCTTTATTAAACACGGTCAATTTCAAATTGAATTTTCATTAAAAAACTGACAAAGCGTAATATAGTTTTTAAAACTTTCCTCTGTTTATTACAATTATGAATAATTGTGTCGATAAAAAAAGCTTATTTAGCCTACACACGCAACTCTCTTTATATTTTCTTCTCCGTGCGAGTTACGTTTTTCGGTGCGTAGGTATTCAGCTGAAATTGACAGGCAAAGAAGCAAGAGGACAAGCCAGGTGAAAATCAAAATGCCCCTTTTGAGAATTCACATGAAATTACACAAAGCATGTTACTATGGTAACTGCTGCCGTGGATGATTCATGCTGTGAACAAAGGAATGTCGGTATCCAACATTGCTACTACGCCAATCTTAGCGGCGTACCGCCTGAAGAATGCTCAGACACTTRAAATGGAGAATGATTTTTTTTCTTTGATAAGATGCCTTCACGACCCACCAAGGGCTTATTTCATAATAAGTTTAACGCTAGCTTCACTCTCGCATTGCTTCAATGGCTTTACTTCCTCGGATAGCGTTACCTAGACGTGCATCCCTCAGCACCTACATTGTGCTATCACGTGACAATAAGAAAAAGTAACACGAATTTTAGGTTCATGAAATAAGCTTTCATTTTTCTTTAGTGTCCAGCCTAATAAAACCTATTCTAACTATTGTGAAACGTGTCGATAGTACAGCGAGCTTGGGAGTTAGGGGAGGGGGTATTTTATATCGGGTCWCTAAAGTAATTCTTTGCATGCGCGAGGAGATCTATTGGTACATGCTACAATACAAACCAAAGCAGGAGCAGCAGAATAYTTGACATGTTAGAGTCTTTTTATGACACTACTTGAGACAACAATACTGACATGCCACTTATGAAAAACCTGTCAAAACTCACTGAAGTATGTTTGCAAAGCTCTTAGCCAGCACTTATAAAAGTCAACACGACAGCGACTAGCCACGGGAATTAAACTTATAACATGGAGTGCAACGAAAGAAGCTAGGCTACGTAATAAAGCAATTGCAATTTTAGAAGTGACTTTTCAAACATAAGTATTTAAGAAAGCATATAAGCAGATTAAAATCTCCACTGAGTCGTTAATACGTGTTGCTTCTGAAACGCTACGGAACCACTACACGAAGCTACGGATACGTAGCGAAAACGCAATACCCGGAAAGATCACAGAAGCGCTACAAAAACGATGAGAAAGCGATACCAAAACATTACTGKCAGTAAAGGTCTAAACGCACTGGATAGGATGGGTCAATGTGAACTGTAAGCGATAGTGTTTTACCGACATATTGTACTTTTCACGTATAACAAAAGTTTTTTTTTGTATCTTCTTAAATAGTCAGTTAATATAGCATTCGTATAGCAGATGATTAGGTCTACTGAGGCAGCACGTTTACAATAAGTTTTTAGCTTACGTTAACTTGTATTCTTTTTTCAAAACTTCGATATATTTTTTTTACATTTGAACTCACATTTTTAATAGCTCATGCACATCGCTTTTACTGTTATCGGACGGAATTGTACCGTATAATTTTTTTCCAATGGTTAAAACGGCCTCTGCAATCTTTGTCTATGTCAGAAAGTGTTATGAAAAGTATCAAAGTATTTTAACTCCGTTTGCTTTGCATGTCAAAGCAATAATAATCATGAAAAAGGACTTTGTGCATCGGCTGTCAATCTTCAATAGTTTGATGACATTATTTTAATAAACTAGCTTAAGAACCAGCCGACACTAGCAAGAGATGGGCTGTGCCTAGTTGGCTTAAGAACCAGCCGACACTAGCAAGAGATGGGATGTACCTAGTTGGCTCCCAAAAAGAATTCCCTTGAATTCTGCCCCCACTCGCAACACTTGACTTGTAAGATAAGGACATTTCCTAAAAACATATTGTTTCAGTTTACATGAGCCTGTATAGGCGTGCTAACCATAATGGCAGAGTTTATCTGTTCTCTCTTGTTTCCCGGTTTGCGGTAAATACTTGAATTAGCAAAAAATGCGTGAAGCCTTTTAGGAGAGTTTCAATCAGCCCAAATCATAAGCAGGAAACCAARCATTCCTCACAAAAATTCACCAATAAATGTTTTGACTTTTTATCTTACTGATTACAGCAAGGCTTATTCAGAGCCTATTGTTTTAAGCATTCTGCCTCCCATTTAACATGCTGTAGCGTCAGAGTGAGGGCGGGGCATCTCTCTGCACAAAAATGTAACGATATCTTCACTGAGCTTCTGTCTGTAAGGAAATCTGTTGCAATGGCATTGTTACAAAGAGGAATGAATGGATAAAACCGCAAACCATCTACTTTGCAAGCCGAACAAGTTGATAATACTGTCAAGCATTGTGAAACAAAGGGCATTCGCCARAAATAACCTAGTTTTTATCACTATTTTTATTCTTATCGATTTCCGATATTAATTTTGAGCTTAAGTTTACAGAACGCATAAGGTTTTCATATTTTTTCATACAAACCCGATTTGATAGGCCTTACTAGTACGATCTTCTTTGGTTGAGTTCTACTGTTTTCAGCCGATCAGTAAGAATAAATGGGATACCCTGAGGCAATAAACAATGCAAGATTTATCGGCGAGACTGTGCGAGGCTTTCATAAAGATATCAGAAAGTCTGAGTTTGTACATTATACAACTAAATATATATATATAAATTCAAAAATTTCATATTTGTGTAAACATACTACATCATAACATTACCGGAAAAGAGGTTCATTTTTTTTTCAGTTTTTTTTTCAGTTTTTATTTTTTGGTAATGATCTATAACAGCTAGATTTAATAAGAAATCGTTCAATACTGAATACTGAGGTAATGCATTGTTGCTATCAAATTCAACTTCAGCTGCCTTATACTATGACAAACTAATTTTCAACTTAATTGCTTTTTATTGACGTTTTTGAGATAGGAAGTCACTCAGACGACACGTAAACTCTTATTCGACGCCTAAATAATGATCCGCAATGCATTGTGGTCTTGGAAGACAGTATTCCCAGCAATCAAAGTATATCCCATAATTTATTTCATTGTCAAGATGTTAGAAATATGGCAACTGAATCGATATGGGATTCAAACTAATGAGACACTGTTATGAACACAATTTTAGTCTAATYGACCTAATTGCTTGGTTTCTAATTCGCTCACGTTCTCCAGACCTCTCCATGCCGAGCTTGGATTATAGAATCTGTTAACGTGATCTCTCAAACAGCCTTTTTGCATCATAAAGCTGTGCAATTTGTGCTCATTATTCCTAATTTGTTTCATATTTACCGTACCGAAAAATCTAAGAAGACTATTTTTCCTTCTTTTTTTTTTTCATTTCTATCGCAATTTAACTAAGATATAAATAAATAGTTTTATCAGTTTTGTCCATAACACGATTTTTTTGTGAGTTAAATCATTCTTGAAAACCGGCTCTAATTCTTSCATATATTTTTAGATTAATTTGATATTGATATCTTGAGATCCTTAACAGCTAAACTAATCCATGRAAAATATTTTGAAATGTATGGATTATCATGGTTTATTGATTCATGTAAAGAATTACATATAATGTTTTGGTTATTCAAATATTTTATATTGACTACTGTAATAGTAATATTCAAAGGTATGACAAGTTCAATATGCGAACCAGTAGTGACACCTGTTAAATTAGTGTTATTCATTTTTGTGTTAAAATATAATGCTGTCATAGCAATGATATCAAAGTCAAAAAGAATCTTAGATTAATCGGACATAGTGACTGAAGATATATGCTTCGTTGTCGAGCGAACAAGTGCTGTTATCTCATGTATGAAATGTCAATTCATATCTTTCATTATTTTCAAGTCTACTGATTATAACTCAGGCTGGTTTTCATGTGCAGTTTTTAAGGCATCAAATTGGCATCAATAATATTTTGATTCTAAGTTGTGATCCACACCGCCACAACAATAAGAGCTACCAAGTAGTTGCCATAATATAACGCAGTCATAAATATCGCCAATGTAATAACAACCGCTATAGCTGCAGCGAATACTTGGTCTTTGGGTCTTGAAGTAAGAAAGTTCTCAAATACGTCTATCGTATTATGGGCCTTTTCAGACGCTTTCTTGAATCGAGTTTTAATTCCATTGGATTTCTTTTTCAAAGTTCGYTTTCCAGGTGTAATGTTACTGTGTGGCTCCATGTTGAGAATGMGCTTTAATCGTCTTGATCATCAACCTTCCCTTTTTGTATTTAAAAACAGCATATCGCGGCACATCGGCGTGATGTTAGTGAAATATCTCTCACAGCAAAGCTTGTTTCATTAAATTACATCACGAGTATTACGCTTGTGGTCTCTTWCTCCGTTGGAAGATGTTGATCTTGCAGTATTAATGGCTTATTGATCGCTTAACCAATGGTGTATATATTTACATAACTCTATTCAAAAGACGCATATTTTGTATGCAAATATGACCAACACTGAAGATAGATTACAATAGACCACCGAGCTATGAATAATTCACTGAATATTTCATGATACAGGGTCTTAACATGGATAAAGAATTAATTTTTAATATCACGAAGCATTTACTATAAAGCCACTAATGATGTAGAGGATTCCGTAAATCATCTATCTGAGATGTATACGCGCTCTTTGAGCGCTCTCATGGGCTCCTATTGACAATTGCAAATACTGATAGGTAGGTAGCGTGATCGTTCTACAAAATCAAAATGACTTGATCTGTGAGGATATACAATGTCACTCACATGACCTAATAGAAAACCCTTATTGGCCTAAYGGCGCACGAATTATTAAAGAGTTTTCAGATTAAACAWTGGATAGTCGAACGCAAAACCACATTGCGCAAACATATGCGGAGAACCTGTCGATGCGTATTGCAACATCTGATCAGTTCCTTGAATGTTATAATTTTTTRATGATTTTGTGAAATTATCGGAACGTGTGGTCTCAGCGTTAAATTTACAGAGGCAGTGAGGACT